TTGTCACTTTTTCTTGTTTTCTTGTCACTTAACGTATTTTGCCACCTTATGCGCATAATTGTGGATCTACTTATAACGCAAAAACTGACCCATACATTTACTTGACAATCACATCCGACGAAGTCGACACGTCATTTATTAATTTCGCTAATTTTTGTGTTGAAAATATTCCCTCAAGAATTACTTATTCGATTTCAGGGTACTGTCAATTTAGTTTCGAAGTGAATATAGTCAAGCGATAATGGATTACATGGACTAAGCGCTATTTTGCCTGCAGCGATTGGAGAAAATTCATATAAATGCAAAATAACTGAATAACACCTGTTTACAGCTTCAGGTGACTGACTCTAGATCTCGTTTGACTTGTTTTTAAGACATGTCCAAACAAAAGCGACATGAAATGCCCCAAATTAGGAAAAATATTTACTCAGTACAAAATGTTTTCGTAAGGCCTGAAAGTTGCAACTTGTTCGTAAGAAATTGGTAAAACAATCTCCATCAAATTTTGAAAACGAAATGGAGTAACAAGCTCTGACCTCAGGCAGATAAGAGTAATAAAAAAGTAATAAAGCAATGATTAGGAGAGGGCGTAGCGTATTTGCTCGGCTCCCTTGTATCTAGACACTTTCTAATCGTAACTTGTTATATAATAACTTCGGTTACCAGAATTTTTTTCTTAGACAAACATAGCTAAAAGGACTAGATATACGCTAATAAAAGAGATCAGAGCTTGAAGATAAAACAAAAATATTTTCACTCCATCAAATGCTTGTTTTTCTCAAATAAACATTCAAAGTCGTGAAAATCGTCGCATGGTAATAAGTAGGAAATAAAGAATACACACATTTGTGCAGTCAAAGTTTGTCTACTGATAAATAAGAACTGACGACTTTAGGGTAGTTAAATTATGTCTCAAAGAGAGGACTCGAATATGGTACTCTCTCGTTTCAAACTTTCTTACTTGAATTACAAAATTATGAACTACATATATCCATACCCTCTTGGCAGCTGACTTAAAACGCCTTGGTTGGTGCTTGCATCTTATCAAGACCTAGAATTAAAATGGAGGTATTATAAAACTAATTAAGTAGCATAATAATTCGTAAAAGAAACTTGAACAAAATTACTGTACTTCTGTATTGTAGATTCTAGTCGCGGCTGTTCATCATCGGCAAATGAAACACATTCACATCCGATTAAATGCGGGTTATATATAATCGTCGTAAAAGCGAAAGAAAGCGACACTCTCTAGATATCATCACTTTTCACCTGTCATTTATTCCCCTTGTTTGAACGTCGGGTACGTATTAATTAACATTTTTTGAAAGAGAATCACAAAATTTTCATAATTTTCTCGGCGCAGCACACGTCAGCAAAAAGCAATCCATACTTTATCACCGGTACCTTGACAAAAATGGGCAATTGTTTTATTAAAGAGATCCATTGCCTAGCTTTCCTTTATTTTTACTTTATAGCAAGAATTTGGCTGATTAGGCGTTAATTTTGCCATAAGGAAAGCACTAATGATCTTTTGGACCATTATTTTGACGGGCTAGTAAGGAAGGTAAAACGTCAACTCAGTGGTTAAAATGTAGCAAATCCCTAAAAAAATTGTCAGAAGCGAAGCTTTAAGAAAAAATGTTGATGTATTTGCCAAGTTAAGAAAGAACTGACAAAATTATTAGCCATCACAAATGCTTGAAAATTCTCACGAAAACAAAAATACATGGAAATTTAAGTGTACCTGTTATCGGAGCAAAACAGCTTGCGCTTCATTAATTTTTTATTGTATTAAAATGAAACTGTTAATAATAGGCGAAATAGTAAATTTAAATATGGATTAAGATAAGCGTTAAGCAAAGTCATACTTTAAAGTGCCACTAACCCCCCAAATTTTTTTTCGCTGATATAAATTTCCTTTTTCTCCTGATCACCACTGCGAAAAAATTATCGTTGTAGCTATTTTCGTCAATTTTCTATGAATTTTCAGAGTTTGTGAATTTGCCCTTTTCCATGTTCACGACC